ATGGGAAGAAAGTCAGATCTGGCTGAAAGGTGCTTCCAGAAAAGGTTTAAGATACACCAGAAGCTGTATTGAAAAGGTTTCTTTTTTAAAAAACCTATTGAGAACAGCTGTCAGGGTCCTGAATGTTCTTTGCAACAAAGGATGGCATCACTGCTATATAATACCATCCAGGTCTTTATTGTGTGCATTACAGTAGTGTCTGGAAGGCTCATTGGTGAGGCCCTGTGAGTGCATGTGTCGAGAGACTGTTCAAGATTATTGCCTTGTTTTTACAGCCAGGAAATTGAGACCCAGAGGGATTTCAAGGCCAGGTTTTCCAATAACTCAGCTTGTTGAGGGTTTAAACCCTTCAAAAATCTAACCCCATTGTTGTGTTCTAAGTAGGAGTTGAGTAGTGCCAAAAAATCTGCCCTCCCACCCCAACACACACATTCCCTGTGACTTACTCAGTGTCCCTGGGTAGCTTGCAGTACAGTCTGTAACAGAACCTAATCTCCAATATTTCTGTTCAGCACCTTCGCTAAAAGGCCAGACTACACTGGACAGAGGTAGAGAACTTCCTAACTACCAGGGAAGTCCACATCTCAGCTCTGTGCCTTGTCGAGAAGTGCCCCCAAACTATGGCTTAGCATGGTGACTGCCTAGGAGTTGGTTTAGGGCACAGCACTGTTTCTCCAGCCCTCACAAGGGTGGGACACACATTCAGATAGACTAGTGGTTCTCAACCTTTTTGGATTCAAGGCAACCCTTGTTAAACTCAAGGCACCCTTGGAAAGTGCCAGCTCTTAGCTTTCACTTGCTTCTTGACTACAGAAAAATAATGAAGCAGCTCTTCTGTTGCAAAGAACTCAGAAAACCCCAGGTGGGTCAGAATGGTTTTGACACTATGGATTCCTATTGGAAATTTTTGGGTTTATCCTATGAATCATGTAAGTGTTTGCACACCTACTGGTGCTAATATTGGCTGGCACTCTTAAAAGGATTGCACAGACCCATTTGAGAATCACTGAGACAGATTCAATGCTGACCCCTCTCTCCAGTTGGAGCCCGTTGCCTCTGTCCTCTCCAAGCTCCTACCACCTTGGCTTCCCACCCATCTCACTGGCTCCTTCTTTCTTACTCCCATCTTAGTTTGCACAGGGACTGATATGAAGGTACTGCATCCCTCCAGCCCAGAAAACCACTATGCCACCCTCAGTCGCCTCTACCAGGACTGCCAGGTGGTGCAAGGCAACCTGGAGATTACCTACTTGGGAGCAGATGCTGACATGTCTTTCCTCAAGGTGAGTGACTCACCACAGAAGCTCTGTGCTTTCCTTTCCTGGTTCCTGCAGTGGATGACAGATAGCATGGGGTAACACTGCAGCAACCTGCATATGGGTCATTGCAAGGGATTGAGCCCAGGTCCATCATGCCTGAAAGCATCCTTTGCCACTGCTGGAGCTAAGGAACAGCTCCCGTGGTAAGATGTTAGAAAAGGGATGGAACAAAAAAACATGCCTGTTTGCCTGAGAGGACCTTATGAGTCTCCTAATAAATGAACCCCAGCCAATGGGAGCTGCTTCAGGAAATCTGCTAGAGGAGCCTTCACCTGTAGTCCTGAATTTCAGTCCCACCACAGCTGAGTCCCAACTGGTGATCCTACCCGCTGTCTATTTGTGTTTCCTGCTGGGAACATCCACCAGGTGTCTAAGGGTCGAAACATCATGTGTTCTTGGGGGCTGGTGAGGCTGCTAGGCTCCCTCTCAGCAATTTCTTTCTGTGACAAAAGGATAAAGCACTTCCAGTGGGATGGATAGTCTCCGTTGGTTTATGTCGGTGAGGTGGGGGGGATACAGAGAAATGGAGGGAGCAGTGTTAAGATTCTGGGATTATCGGTTTTGGAAGAATCTTTCCAAATCCAGCTCAGGAATAACAGGTGGAAGGCTCATCTGTTCTGGGAGAGGATAGATGTCCAGGCAGTCCCCACAATAAGGGAACCAGTCCCCACAGATGTCCAGCCAGTCCTCTTCACCATCCATACATCACCTGGAATTCAGACAATGCCGTGTTCCCATCTTGGCTTTGACCAGGATGGACCTGATAGAGACTGGAGATCTACTGGCCCTCCTAAGGGTCACCTGCACCCAGCAGCAGAGCTGCTTGTGATACTGGTGGTTCCAAAAGTCAAGGCTCTTGCTTTTGGAGCCAGAGGTCATGGGTTCTGTGCCCACTGACAGCTCATCTAGGGGGTCATCACTTTGGCATCTGGTCTGATCCGGGTCCCTGGCCTCATCCTCTATGCCCCTGTAGGACATTACAGAGGTCCAAGGCTACGTGCTGATTGCGCAGAACCAAGTGAGCCACCTGCATCTGGAGAACCTGCGGATCATCCGGGGCACCCAGCTCTATGAAGACAAATACGCACTGGCTGTCCTTTTCAACACCAGTCCCAATGAGACAGCGGGACTGATGGAGCTGGGCATGAGGCATCTGACTGGTAGGGAGGCTGGTTCCGGAGCCCTTTGGGGTGTGAGTGGCAGTGGCCTGGTCTCTTCAGTAAAACACCCAGAATTATGGTGGTTGGAACATCCTGTTTTATCAGACTGGTGGGTGGCCCATCCAGGGCAGTGTCCCCTGTAGCTGGGATCAAAGGTCCTTCAGCTGGATACCCCTTCCATGCCTGGTCAGACCAGTGGTCTACCAAGACCAACATTTCCACCTCTCCATTGCTTTTGATCAGACCAGTGATCTGACAGTCTGCTATTCCCTGCCCCAGTGACCTGAATCTGTGCAATAGCCAGTGTTCTGGCCATACCTGATCTGACTAGTAACTCATCTAGTGCAATATGCCCCATTCATGAGAGCAGTGATCCCTCTCACCTCATATCCCTGCCTCCCTGCTGTGACAGAGCTGAGCTGTGGCTCATTTGCTCTAGTTTTTCCCTCTGTGATAGATCAGAACAATGGTCCATGAAGGTCAGCATCTACCATGCTGTGCCAGGTTACAGCAATAGTCTATGTAGGCAGGTGTTGCAACACCAACCGCCACGTGGACATGTGGCAAGTACCCTTGTTTCCTTACCACCAGATCCAACCACTGTGCTCAACAAATCATGAATCCCTGTCCCTGAGAACAGCCAATGCCAGCTGCTTCTGTGCCCAATGGTGCAATACCCTGGCACTGTGGCTATGTGGTAGCAGATTCCTTCCCAACCATTCCACAGTGGGTGAGTCTCGAGCATGAAAACCAACAGTCCCTGCAGGTCTGATCCTAGGCCAGGCATAGCTGATTCATTTAGCTCTTCCAAAGTCCACTGCCTTTTTGATCTTTACTGATGCATCACATAGATAAGGATTACCGTGCTGGGGGCAGCTCAGTGTCCCTTCTGAGCCAGTGTCTCACAGCCTGGATGGATGGGCAGGCTGAAGAACAGGTTGCAGTCATGCCGAAGACTCTTTCACAGTTAAATCCATCTTTACAGAGATCCTGAAGGGCGGGGTGATCATTCAGGGGAACCCTCAGCTGTGCTTCCAGGAGACCATCCTGTGGAATGACATCTTCCATAAGTCAAACGACTTCCGCCAGAACCAGATAATTGACAGCCAGCGGAACAGGACATGTGAGTGCCCTTCTTGGTTCCCTCCCACCTGGAGGGGTCAGGTTGTCCACTGTGGGTGGGGAAGCCACAGCATGTCCAGAAGGTCCAGCCTGGCCCATCTAGTGCCATCAGAAAAGCAGTGCTGGTACATGGGGATGTGGGTCAGGCTTCGGGTGTGGGAAGGGAGCACAGGCATGTTTTGTGCATGGGACCTGTCCTAGGCAGCAAATTCTTGCAATGTCTTCCACATGCTTCAGGGCAAAGCCTGGGGCAGGACTTGCTGTAAAACATGAAGCCTCAGCATGATCCAGACACCAGCATAGCCTCAGCTTGGCCCATCCCAGGAGACTAGCTCTAACACGCTGTGAACAAGTCCAGGCTGCTGCTGTGGACACTCCAGCTAGGAGCTGAATCCACAGCCAGGGGGATCCAGAGGTTTGGAGGGCTTTAGTGGTTCCTTGAGTGCTGTGGTTATGTGGTGCGCCTTACTCCCTAGAGCCACTATGCCCATTGTCACCTGCAGCCACTCACATCCCACACTTCCTCAGACCTGTCCCAGAAGCCTTTTCACCAGCTTAGATTGTGCTTCAGAGGAACAGCTCCCTGCCCAGAATGTCTGAAGAGGGTGCAGACAGTGCCCCAAGATACTGCCCATTAACAGAGGACTGGAGATGGGGAACAGTGGTGGGCTTACCATCCCAGGGGCCTGTTGGACAGCTTCTGAGTCAAGAAGGCACAGCTGGGTGGGAAGCAGATTTTTCACAAATGAGCCCCCAGACCCCTCCCTTGTGGGGAGTTTGTGCAGGGGCCTGGCAAGACCGAGGAGGTGAGGAGGTCATGCCAAAGGGATTGGGGCATGTTTCCCCCCTCACCCAACCCAAAGCTTTGGGGATGCCCTCACAGCTCCTGGCTTCTCTCTGTGTATGCCCAGGCGCTGACTGCCAGAGCTTCTGCCCTGGAGAGCACTGCTGGGGAGCCAGCACTCAAGACTGCCAGACACGTGAGTACTGGACACAGGGGCTGTGTTGGATTCCCTTTCTCTATGGCACAGCTCAGCCACATCCCAGTCCAGCCAGCCAGCCAGGCCTGCTCAGAGCTGGACAAGCATGTAGGGTGAACTAGTCCCCACAGCAATTAGGGTAAGGACTTACAAGGCTGGACTGGGGGCTGATGGGAAAGGAGAGTCAAAAATTGGAATGGAGGCACTGGGCAGGGAAGGGGTCAGGATGGATCCATGTAAAGGAGGGGGAAGTTGGGACAGAGAACTTGCCCTGCTGGGTCAGGGAGCCCCAAGCTCTGTGGGTACAGTCATTATGCACCTGGCTTCTGTCCTGCAATGACACCTAGCAGGACTTAGCAGGTGCCTCTGAGCTGAGCAGATATTCATGGTGGCCCCTCTCTCTCTGTCACAGTGACCAACACTATTTGCCATGGGTGTCCCAGGTGCAAGGGCAACAAGCCAACAGACTGCTGTCATGAGCAGTGTGCAGCAGGCTGCACCGGGCCCAGGCACTCGGACTGCCTGGTGAGTGCCTGCCCACCTATGGGTCTTCACGGTGGGTTAACATGGAGGGACAGAGAACAGGCAGGGTGGAGGGATAGTAGCTCAGATGGGTTAGAGGGCAGGAGGAATAGGTAGAGGCTGGGGAGATGGATAGTACAGGGGGGAGGGGGATGTGGTCACCCAGTAGGGTAGGGCAGTAGAGCCAGGGGATTCATATGGTGGAGTTAGGGTGAGGAGATGTTAGTACAGGGGATGTTAATCTAGTGGGATTAGAGGGATTGGGGAGTGGGTTTTCACATGGAGAGAGCTAGCAGGGTGGGGGATAGGACATTCATGTACAGGGGCTTAAGGTAACAGTGGGAATGGTTGGTAGGACAGGGCAGGAGGGAAGGCAGGGTGAGCCTGGGTGCAAGAGATGGGGCTGGGAAATTGGTTACCCCAGTGACTGAGGTCATGGATTGGCTCACTCTCCCCCAGGCCTGCTTGAACTTCAATGGGAGTGACACCTGCCAGCTTCATTGTCCCCCACTTGTCATCTACAACTCAGACACCTTTGAATCGGTGAATAACCCAGATGCACGTTACACCTTTGGAGCCAGCTGTGTCAAAAAGTGCCCCTGTAAGTGTCACTCCCCACCCCAGGGAGGTCCCACTGGGGGTGGATGTAGGTGGGCTGAGGGAGGCAGCTGCAAATGCTGGGGCTGTGGCCACACACTCCTGTGTGATGGATACCCATGAATGGGGTGGGGACAGGGGGTCAGTTTGCAAAGCTCCTCTTGCTGGCAGGCTGAAGTCCCAGCTGGGAGGTCACCACAGTCTGAGAGCTTGCTTGGGGCTTCTGCAAATAGGATGCAATCCCCTTTGTGGATTATGAATCCACAGAGCTCTGGGGAACATGCATGCCCTCTGCTTCAGCACTAACCAAACTCCTTATGCTGGGATTAAGCACGTGAAGGGTTAATAGGGAGCTGCATGATGCTTTGCTATGAGGAGCTGCTGTGGGGGCATCATTCCTCTCCCCATCTCCCAGAGACTCCCACACTGAGGATCAGGTACCTGGATCTAAGCGTCTGGGAGATTTGAACCCAGCTCAGAGTTTAGGGGCCTGGATTGAAACCCTGGCTTGGAACTAGCTAGGTTTGTGCAAGATACCAGGCTCATGCATTTATCAACAGTCTTTACCAGAGTCCCAATCATGAATGGCTTCCATCCTTACAACCCCACTATAGCAAGCCGAGGCCTGGAGAGGCAAAGTGGCTGGCCCACAGTTACACACAGAGGGTCTGTGGCAGAGCTGGGACTCCAATCTAAGGGATGCAGTCCTGCACCCCAGACTAGAAGTCCTGATGGATGGTCCCTCTTCCTCTCCTGCAGATAACTACCTTGCAACTGAAGTTGGCTCCTGCACGCTGGTGTGTCCCCAGAACAGCCATGAGGTGACTGTGGACAATGTGCAGAAGTGTGAGAAGTGCAGCAAGCCCTGCCCAGAAGGTAGAGCCAAGAGCCTGGGGCCCCCTCCTCACCTCTACCCAGAGAGAGAGTGGGGAAGGCAGGTCCAGAAAACAAGTTCCCTTTGGGAAGGAGGAGGAAGCATCTGGAGGCACATGAAGTCCCTGGGGAGTTGATATAGAGAGCAGTGGGAGGGGCTGGGAGGTGCCTCCATCCTGACAAGAGGGGTAGGGAGGGCATGGGGAGTGTGAGGGTTAGAGGGGGTCAGAGTTGAGCAGTTCCATCCTGGGGTCTCACCAGTCTGGATGAGGGAGCCATGTTAGTCTCCCTCAGCCACCTGCCCTTTCTGTCTCCTAGCCTGCTATGGGCTGGGTGTGGACTTCCTGAAGGGTGTCCGGGCAGTCAACTCCTCCAACATCCACCACTTCACCGGTTGTACCAAGATCTTTGGGAGCCTGGCCTTCCTGCCTGAGACCTTCGCAGGGTGAGTAGCAGCTTCAGAAGTCTCCATCTCTGCTGTCCAGGCCTTGCAAACTCGGCATGGCTCCAGCCTGGGGAGCTAAGGCCCTACAGAGTATTGGACTCTGGTTGGCAGCAGCAGGGGGGAAGGACTTGTGCTCATGACATGTCAGGGCACCAGGAGCTGGCCAGCTCCAAGGTCTGCTGTCTGGCAAAGGAGCAGATCCCCTGCTCCAAAAGCACATGCCTCAGCTGCCTGAGCCCAAGGGGAATCTCCACTCAGTGCAGGACCCATGACACACAGCTGAGTGACTGTGATTCTGTCCAGTAGGGGGCAAACCACTGCCACTTTATTATGCACATTTTTGTCTTGAGTCGAACCTCCCTGATGATGCAGCCTGGCTGGCCTGAGCTCAGTGTTTAAAGGGATGCAAAGCAGGCATGACCCTGGGCTTCATCACTTCACATCCAAGCATCTGTTCACTCCTCAAAAATTTCCTGCTGGACCTAGCTGAAAGCATGGAGCAAGAGGCCTTGTGGAGGAGAGGGCAGGGTCTCGGATGATTCCCCCATTGCATGATGCTTGGGTCTACCTCTATGGGCTCCCCCCAGAACTCTGCTCCTTCTCTAACAGGGATCCCAGCACCAAGACGGCACCCCTGGATCCAGAGCAGCTGAAGATCTTTGAGAACCTGGAGGAGCTGACAGGTGGGGGATGGAGTCCTTCATATCCTGGCCTCTGTATGCTCACATGCATGTGCACACACCCATACACACTCATACACTTGGTCCCAGTGCCCTGCTTATTTCCACCAAACCAAAAGCCAAAGCTGCATCTTCTGACATGCAGATGCGTTCCATTCTCTTGCAAAGCTGCTGGGATGGGACTGAATGATGGAGCTGCCCAAGGAGCTCATCGCCAGGCTCAAGCCTCTCTTTGAGGCTGAGGCTTTTGCTAAAGATCATGTGATCCCAGGTTAGAAATCCTGGAGCTGCTGCAGTGTGTGCATGCAGGTGGAGTGTCCACTGGGAGCAGCCTGGGGCAGGGTGCCCTTTGTCTGGACTTCACTGTAAGGTTTTGCCAGCATAGCTAAGATCACATGCCCGAGCAACATGGTTCTGCAGATAACTTCCCCCTACCCTGTTTTGGATACAGCTATGCCAGTCAGAGGGCTTTTGCCCCAGAGCAGGGGTTGGCAACATTTTTGGGCAGAGTGCCAAAATCACCCACAACCTTGACTTGTAAGATGTTGGCATGCCAGTGGTGGATGGCAGGGAGCCGTGAAGGGCCCAATCCTTGTTGTAGCAGCGCAGCCCTGGCCTCTTCCCCAAGGTATGAGTGCCAAGCAAAATGCCTTTGTGTGCCATGCTCTGGCATGTGTGATGGTGGTTGCCTACTTCTGCCCCAAAGCTTCTGTGGACTGGGGAGATGGAAACCAGAAAAAAACTCTTCTCTTGCAATATATAGCATCTCCTCTAAGGGGCTGTATACAGCTGTAGTGGCAGCCTCCCCCTATCTTAGCCAGGCATTGAGTCATGTGGGTGATGGAAGTTGGTGGTAAGCCAGTGGGTAGAATAGATCCATTGCTGGCTTGTTGTAGCCTGTTGTTCAGATGGATCAGGACATGACCCTGTGTATGTTTCACAGGCTTCCTATACATCGAGTCCTGGCCAGAGACCCTGCCAGACCTGAGTGTCTTCCAGAACCTCCGGGTCATCCGTGGACGGGTGCTCCACAAGTGAGTTGGCTCTTGTGGTGGGGAGAGACATGCCCTCCGCTGGGTCCATGTCCCCTGGGAATACCTGAGCCATACAGCCTGGTGAAGGAATAAAGGGAGAGGCCCAGAGGTCTTGCTCACTCAAGGAACAGCAGAACAGATCAGCTGTTCCTCTCTGGGGGCACCTCCTGAGCAATGGGCATGGGGCCCTTTGCCTCTAAACTTCTGCTTGGTTGGAAGTCACCCACATATGGAATGAGTTTGCTCAATCTCAGCCTAGAGCCCCACCCCTGCCTCTAACCACCAGCACAGTTTGTGGCATGGAAGAGCCAGGTGGGATGATGAATCCATTCAGGATCTGCCCCCACTCCTTATGTGGGGTCAGCTGGGCCCCCGCTTGCTGAAACCCTCCAGTAACGCTGTCCTGCTCACCATATGCTGTGGCCATCTCCCTGCAGTGGTGCCTACTCCCTGATGCTGCAGAACCTCTCCATCGTCTCACTGGGCCTGCGCTCCCTGCAGGAGATCAGCGGTGGGATGGTGCTGGTTCACCAGAACCCCAACCTCTGCTTCCTCCAGAAGGTGCCTTGGAAAGCCATCTTCAGGAACCCGCGCCAGGACCTTTTCCAGACCCACAACAAGCCCACAGATCAGTGTGGTAAGAAGGCAGGGGGATACAGGATGGTTGGTCCTCTGCTTCCTCTGGAACCCAGCTCCAATGCCCAATTCAGCTGGGCTTTGAGTGGCCCTGGCAAGCTAGACTGGCATCAGTGGCTGGGGCATTGGAGGGTGGGCTTAGCAAGGAGCAGTACACAGTGCCAATTTCATCCCCAAGCTCACCCTCAGGGCCTCTTAGCACCCCGATGCCAACTGTCTTGTCAGCTGCCTCTCTGCCCCCAGGTGCCAGTGGGTGCTGCCCTCACTGACATATCCCTCCAGCCCCAGGGCCTGTGGGCGCTCTTTGCATTGACTGATGTCTCCACCTATTCCATCAAGTGCTCCCTATTGACTAGCACGTGTACCCAGTGGGTGCTACCTGGTGCATGTCCCACACTCCTCATTGATGCCACCATCTGTGATCTCAGCTGTCTCTCCCTGGTAACCACTGATCCTTCATCCTCCTCTTCTGTCATGGGCATTTTCTGCTGCTCTTCTGTGTCTGGGGGAGTCCCTTATCCTGCCCACCACCAAAATGCCAGGGAGGGTTTGGGCATTTCTGTAAGGGGCCATGTGGACTGAGGATCAGGTAGATGGGACTCTAACCATTGCCTCCTCCTTCAGAGAAAGAGGGGTTGGTGTGCTACTACCTCTGTGCCCAGGGGCTCTGCTGGGGCCCGGGGCCAACGCAGTGCATCAGCTGTGAGCGGTTTCTGCGTGGGCAGGAGTGTGTGGAGTCCTGCAACATCCTGGATGGGTAAGCAGGGGCTCTGCTGGTGCAGGGGAGCTGCTCCTTGGCTGCATGCAATGGGCACCACATCCAATCCTTAACCCTGGCACCAGCCAGGCAGCCCTCTCTGCTGCCCCATCAGCCCTTCCGGGGCTGCCCTAGCTCGTCTGTGCATGTCTGCAGGGGGCCATGTGGACTGAGTACTTGCAGGGGTTGACCCCCCCAGGCCAACCACTGATTCTCCACTAAGGAAGGCATTTGCCCTTTGGGATGGGGCTGGGAGGGAGACGGGTGCAGAGGTTGCTTCCTGACTCCCTTTGCGTGGGGGGAGTGGGGAGCAGTCTGGCAGCCTATGGGTTCAGACCAGTAGGGTCTGGGGGTTGTTTGGAGAGAGAGAGATACTCAACCTGCTTTGGAGGCACTTGCCTCTGCTCTGGCTTGAGGAAGGAGGCCCTTCAGCATGGTTCACACCCTCTTTGGGAGTGTGGATGGGGTCCAGATTGTGCAAAGTCCAGAATTCCCACTAGGTCCCTTAAAGACTTGGGCAGCAGCCATGGAGTCTGCTGACCCCATCCCAGTCACACCTGCTCACTGCAAAAGATCAACAGGACAGATCTGGGGTGGGGGGTGGGGGGAAGAGACAGTGAATGGGGTAGAGTCCAGAGGCAGGTCTGGTGGTCCCTGGGGAGAGCCTCCATATGGGGCCCCCATTCCCGGTCCAGACTCAAGGGATTGGAGGTGGTTGTATCAGCCTGGGGCAGAGGGATATCCCTGCTCCCCTGTGTGGCTCCTGTGTGAGAAGCACTGCCATGTTTGCAGGGAGCTGGCACTTACTCCCATTGCCAGTAGGGAGATGGGCCTGAGCTGAGACAGTCCAGTGGGTTTGTACAGAGGCTGGGTCAGAGTCTGGTTCCTCCTCCTGACAGGGCTGTCCGGGAACATGCCAACGGGACCCGTTGCCTACCCTGTCACCCTGAGTGTCTACCCCAGAATGGCACAGAAACTTGCCATGGATCGGTGAGGATTGGTGTGCAAGGGTGGGGGGGAAGGGAAGGGGGGAGGGGATTGGGTGGTACACCCCCTTGAATAGAAAGGGTGGGGGCAGCCACCATTTCTAATCCATTTTGGCCAGTGTTATTGACCAAGTCTTTGGGTTGTTCCTGGGTTTCTGAACTTCCCCCTGCACCCTGTCTGTGTCCTCTGTACTCACCACACATCCTTCGCCTCAGGAGGCAAACGAGTGTGTGGCCTGCGCCCATTACAAAGATGACCAGTACTGCGTGGATAAGTGCCCAAGTGGGGTGAAAGCTGATTCCTTTGTGCCTATCTGGAAATACCCAGACAAAGATGGCATCTGCCAGCTGTGCCAAACCAACTGCACCCACTTGTGAGTACAAACAGCTAGCTGGAGCCAGGCTTTGCCTCCTGAGCACAAGGGCAGAGGGGTTTGGCTGCATAGGAGAGAGCAAAACTGGGCTGAGTGACTGGGAGTGGGCAGAGGTGAGGAAAGGACTGGAGGTACCCCAGCAGATGGCATAAGGCAGGAGGCCCTGTCACCTGGCACTGGGGATTTCCCCTGGCCCATCCATTTCCCATCAGTTAACCAGTCTTCTTCTCTGTATCTTCCCCCAGGTGCACAATCCGGGACGAGGATGGTTGCCCTGTGGATCAGAAGCCAAGGTATTGTGCACCCCCACCATGCCCACCTCCCTGCTCCTGCCAAGTGCCCCCACATGTCACTTACAGGGTTTTGCCCTCTCTTGGGGAATCTGGATCCCTCTGCCCAGCTGTACTACCACCCTCTGGAAAGGGAACCCCAGAGGAAAAATCCCTGTTGGGGAAAGAGGCAGGCCTACAGAACTCCCAGGACCATGGGATCTGGGATGGTCCTGGGCAGATCATCCTTCCCTATGGGCCTCCCTGGGAGCTGTGTCCTGGGTATACCCTCCCTTCACCCCAACCCATCCCTGTCCTCTGTAGGGAGTCAAATCAGTCTCCTTCATAGACTGGTCCCCAGTGTAATTCAGCAGCCACCCCATCCTCTCCCAGCCAGGTGACATCCATCATTGCCAGCGTGGTTGGTGCCCTCCTGGCTTTGGTGCTTGTCCTCCTCACCATAGTGTGCATCAAGAGAAAGAGGCAGCAGGAGAGGAAGCACACGATGCGGCGCCTCCTGCAGGAGACCGAGGTATGGCAGAGGTCCCTAGCCTCATACCCCTAGTTCCCAGCGCTTGGGCTGCTCCCGATTCTCCATTTCCTACAGCAAGGGTGCTCAACCCCCAGGCCACAAGCCAAATCCAGCCCACAGAGCCACAGCATCTGGTTCACAGGGCTCCCCACAGGTCGAGAAATGTAGTGGCAGGGAAGCAGTGGCAATTAATACTGCCACTCCCTGGGGCTCAATTAATACTGTCACTCCCTGGGGCTCAATACAGCAGCTCCCCTGCTGCCAAATTCCTAAGCCTTGCACAGCCAGATTGGGCCCTGCCATGCCCACCCCATGTGCCTGACTGGGCCCACCAGCCAGATCCAGCCCATGGATGGAGCATGCACTGCCCATCCAACCTGCAGAGCAAAAAGGTTGACCACCACTGTCCTACAGAAATACAAGACAGGCCTCAGCAGGAGCTGACAGGTCCTGTGGTCCCTGGCTTGTGTCCTCACTAATGCTGGTTCCCTCCTTACTGGCAGCTGGTGGAACCACTGACCCCCAGCGGGGCTCTTCCCAACCAGGCCCAGATGCGGATCCTCAAGGAGACTGAGCTCAAAAAAGTGAAAGTTTTGGGCTCTGGAGCCTTTGGCACTGTCTACAAGGTGAGACTGGGTAGGGGGCATCAGGAACCTTCCAGAGCATGCCTGATGCTTCCCCCCCTGCAAGAGTAAAGCATAAGGTGTTCAGGCTGGGAGTGTAGGGGCTGCAAGACTCATGGGCAGGGTAGAGGGGTGAGACCATGGTTGTCTCAGTGGGCTGTGGGGAGCAGGGCTGAGAGCTGGGTAGATGCAGTGGGGAGCATCATGGCTGGGGGTTGTTAAGCCTCCTTACTCAGACACTCAAGCAGCACCTACAGGCTCCTGGGGAGATGGGGCGATTATCCCTACCCTGAGGTCCTTTATTTGATCCTCACCGAGCAAGGCTCATGCTTGAACAGGCAGCTGTGATAGTGCGTCCCCATTTCACCAGTGCCGGTGCTCAGCCCCTTGGCCATGACCTTTGGCTTCACCTAGCCCCAATTTTTGTGCTGACTTCATGGGGCCTATGGGAGCTCTCTGTGGATTGCTGTGGCAATGTGCCCATGGCTTCCTCCTCCCTCCTCAGGGCATCTGGATCCCAGATGGCGAGAGCATCAAGATCCCTGTGGCCATCAAGGTCTTGAGAGAGAACACATCGCCCAAGGCCAACAAGGAGATCCTAGATGTGAGTGCACATGATGTACATACACTGCACATGTGTTCCACTGCATGGCATATGCACAATGGCCTTGTGTGGGGACAGACTAACAAAACCAGCCACGCAGCTTCATTGCAAGCTACTAGATCATAGACCCTCACACAGGTCCCCTCTGGTCTGAGGGCTCAAACCACTAAGCCCCAATCAACATGCCATAGCAATGAGTATAAGCTGCCCTTGCCCCGCAGAGCTACCCAAAGTGGCTCTGGCCCACCTGCTCCATTCTCATCCTGGGCACCTCAGCAGGTGGGTGTGATGAGTAGGGACAGCCTGTCTGGTTGTTACCCAGTTTGAATTATTGGGAAAGGGAAGAAGGGTGCCCTTATGCCATGTCCTTTGTTTGATCTCCACCCTGCAAGATTTCCTGATCACAGAGGGACCCCTGCAAGGTAGGGCCTTGAATCTCTATGCGGCCCCAGGGGAATCAAGGGGTTGGGTCTGGTCTGGGAGTCTGTCTATTCTCCATGACTGGGTGGAGCCTCCTGCTGGGTGTTTTTGTTTCAAACTCCCTTCCTCTCCGCCCTAGGAGGCCTATGTGATGGCAGGTGTAGGCAGCCCCTATGTCTCCCGCCTGTTGGGCATCTGCCTCACCTCCACAGTGCAGCTGGTCACCCAGCTCATGCCTTATGGCTGCCTCCTGGACTATGTGCGTGAGAATAAAGACCGCATTGGCTCCCAAGACCTGCTCAACTGGTGTGTGCAGATAGCAAAGGTAGGAGGATCCCTGGCAAGGTGGGAGGGATGGCTTATTGGCCTCATCACCAGTTAATGCTTTTTGGGTGACTGAGGAGTACAGGTTCAAATCCTAGCTGAGCCCACTAGGCCATTTCCCACTCAATGAGTTTACCCTGGTTAGGTCTCATCTCCTCTGCTCAGGCATTAAAGATCATATGGCCACACTCATAAGCATGAGGCAGGCAGGGAAGGGGTTTTACAGCACTTGCTGCCTCAAACTTGCACTGCATTCTGGTCATTCCCCATCCCAGAGGTGGCTGCATTTTTCCAGCATGTACCCCAATGCTTGCATCCTCCAGGATGAAGGGTGTTATCCAGACCCAGGAAATAAATTGATGTCAAAATGCAGCCACTACCTCCCATGTCTGCAGTGCTAGAGAGGATACTATGTCATCCAATTCATGAGTATGCTGACATCAAGTAGCTCCCTGGCACAAAAGGGCATCATTCCACATTCCCAAATGGCCTGCTGGGAATCAAGGGACTGTTACCTAGTGGGTAGAGCAGGAGGGTACAGGAGGACTCCTGGGTTCTGCTCCCAGCTCTGCTACTGACTTGCTGGGTGACTTTAGGTGACTCATTAGCCCTTTCTATGCCTCACTTCGAAGAGGTCTGTCCTCCAGAAGGGGTGGTTAGGTCTGATGTCTGCAGCATGCTTTGAGACTTCCCCCAGAGGGCACTGCACTGCTAAGGTGGGTGAGGCAGTCAGATAGATGGATTCCCTGAGAACTCCAGCCCCAGGGTTGAGGGTTACGGATGTCTGTGTCATTCTCCCCTCCGAACACCAGGGCATGAGCTACCTGGAGGATGTGCGGCTGGTGCACCGTGACCTGGCTGCTCGCAATGTCCTGGTGAAAAGCCCCAATCACGTGAAAATCACAGACTTTGGCCTGGCCCGGCTGCTGGACATCGATGAGACAGAGTACCATGCGGATGGGGGCAAGGTGAGGCATGTGGGACCCAATTCTGAGAAGCCAGCAATGAGCCTGGCCATAATCCACCATTAGCGGAGCTCCTCCCGGGAGCAGTGTCTCATTACAAGTACATGGTGGCTGTGAGCTGTGGCTGGCACATGGGCAGGAAGCCATGGGAGTCCCTTGACCCCCCAAGTGCCAGGCTGAGAGCAGTGAGGCTGGGGCACATACCACAGAGGGACACTTGCTGGGCAGGGAGGGCAAGGTGGCACTGGGTTGGCTTCTCCTCATGCTGTCCTGGCAGAACACCCCTTTGCCCCAGATCAGCTCCATCCTTTGCTTCCTTCACAGCCCAGTCACTGCTATGACACTAATGATACCTCAAAGCAGGGCACTAACCTAGAAGTATCAAACTCATCTGGCCCCAAAGCCCCACACACCAGTGCCATGTGCAGCACACACTGGCCCTGGCCCCTTGCAAGGCAGGTGGCACCTACATCAAACCAACCCTGCACACTGGATCTGTCACATAACCCTGTGGGGCCAATCTGTGTGTCCCATTTAGGGCTGGCACCAGTGTGTGCTGTATGTGGCACATGAGATCAGCCCAAGACCCACAGGCAGCACAGCAGGCCAGATGATAGGGCTCCATGAGCTGGATCAGGCCATGGGCTGGATCTTTGACACTGCTGCCCATTGCCCCCCTCCTCCCCCCTACTACTGCACATATGTGCCCTCTCACCAGAAAGGGGCAACTCAAATGATGAGTGCCATTTCAATCTATCTAGGCTTCCTCCTCCTCATGTGCATGGATTTGGCATTTATTGTTGGCTTTATTGTCTTTAATAGCCCATGTCTTTATTGGGCTAATGCCTGTGACCTGGTTGCCAGTTGGTCTCTCTGCTGCGCCATTCTGATTGGTGTATGAGCAGAGATGTGTCCTGCAGCAAGAGGAGCATGTGATGAACATAAGCCCTAATTGGGCTTATAGCTACTAGGCCTTTTTACTCAAGGAAGTGAACCACTCTCAAATGGTCTTTGGTTCACTGAGCACTGCCTGTATGTACTAGCCAGGCCAATATGCCATAGTACAGGTTTTGTGGCCTTATCTTGTTTTTATGGTACTAGTGTATGGGGTAGGCCTGGGGTCCATTTCTGCTGGTGTGAGACTGCAGGTGTATCTAGGAGTACTTGCTGCCATCTGAGCCAGTGGTGAAAGGTAGGTGGCAGGACCCAGTAAGCTGCAGAACGAGAAAGACTGGTCAAATATTGAGATATGAGACTAAGAAAAGAAATAGCAAAGCTCAAAATATTTCAGTTTCTAAATATAGCTGCACTGCCTTACGGGAGCTATAATTTGGATTCCTCTTCTTCTCATTGTGCTTTGTGTGCTGGGCTCCCCAGCTGGACTTCAAATCCCTTGATGCATTGCTTCCCCTCAGCCAGAGGGGAGACTGTGATGCATCAAGCATGAGGTAGTCTGACCAGAGAACTCAGTTAGTATTTATTTGCTGTTACCTGCAAACTCCTCCACCCACGGATGCCAAAGCTCCCAAATACATACAAAGCAAAGCTGAACTTACACCACCCATGTTGCTCTCTCTTTCCTGTATTCAGGTCCCCATCAAGTGGATGGCTCTGGAGTCCATCCTACGCCGGAAGTTCACACACCAGAGTGATGTCTGGAGCTATGGTATGTTACATCCCCAGCTGTAGGGTCTCTGGTGGTGAAAATCCTGCTGCTCCTGGCCCTGACGTGTCTGACTTTCCAGGCGTGACGGTTTGGGAGCTGATGACCTTTGGTGCCAAGCCATATGATGGAATCCCTGCTCGTGAGATCCCCGACCTCCTGGAGAAGGGGGAGAGGCTGCCACAGCCTCCCATCTGCACCATCGATGTCTATATGATCATGGTGAAATGTATGGACCTTTCAGTTTCTTATTTGCGGGCTGTATGACTAGGTGGCTTGTTTGGTCTCCAGACTTGTACATGTGACTCTGAAGAAGTCTTCACCAAAGGGCTAGGAGACTAGTGTCAGGATGTGGAGAATGGATGACGTTTTTCTTCCTGCTGAGAGCTGGGTGGTCTCTTTCCTGGGTAAAGACCCTGGAATTGGGTTATCTGTGCTGGTAGAACAGAGATGGCAAAGGAGAGAATCCACTGGGAGAGTGAGATGTGCTTCTTTCTGGGCTCTGTTTGCTGCTTTGTCTAGTCCCATGACAGAGTGAGACAGGAACCACCCAAAATCCTTTAAGCCAGCTTTAAGTGTGCAGGATATGTGGACCACAGAAAGGTGGAGTCCCATGTCCTGAGCATGAAGGAGGTCACTGCATACAGCACTTAGTCCTAGCACAAATTCCTGCTGTAGCATCTCCCATATGATGTTTGGCTGGCAGGCTCACTGGTGCCTTGCTCTCTCTACAGGCTGGATGATTGACTCTGAGTGTCGCCCCAAGTTCCGGGAGCTGGTCTCAGAGTTCTCTCGCATGGCACGAGACCCGCCACGCTTTGTGGTCATCCAGGTATATAGAACAGGCCTGTGTTACTGGACAGTTTTTGGCAGGGTGGGCTCAGGGGTAGAGACTTGTGAGACTTCTCTTTATATCTGCCTTGCTACTGCTTGGGTCTAAAAATCTGTCAGTTGTGGTGTATACAACTGGGATAAACTCTACTCAACATGTACACGACCTGGCTTTATTCACCTCATTCTAATCCTCAGCAGGTCCACAGACTCCCTGATCTCCACCAAATCTAACATCATAAATACAAGGGATAGAACAGCCCTCAGGACAGCTAGTCCAAGGCTGGAATATCTCTGTCTAAACCATCCCAGACAATTGTTTGTCTAACCTGCATTTTAACATTTCTAATGGTAGCCTCCGTCACATTTCTAGGTTGTGTGTTCCAGTACATAACCACCTTCAAAATTGGAAAACTCTTCCTAATCTCCAATCCATATCTCTATTGCAATTTCAGCCCATTACTTCTCATCCTGTCCTCAGTGGGCAGAGTGGACACTTGATCACTATCCTCTTGACAACAACCCTTTTTTTTAATTCAAAACTTCTTATCAAATGCTCCCTTACCTTTCTTTTCTCCAGATGAAACAATTCCAATTCTTTCAGTCTTTCCTTCTATGCCATATTTTCTAGATCTATGGTCATTTTAGATGTTCTTTTCTGGACACTTCTTAGTTTATTCATGTTTTTCTCAAAGTGCAGCACACCAGGCTGGGCACTGGCAAAGATGATACATGGTCTAGTGCAGGAACAAGTCAGGACTCCAGGGCTCCATTGCCTCTCATTCACTGAGCTGCTTTGATCAAGTCAGTTCTCTTTGCAGCTCAGTCTTTCCTCCTGAGGCCAGCAGGTTACACATCTGTCAAGTGATTTGGGTTAAAAGGTGCCAGAGGCCAAGAATGAATACAGCCTTTAATGAAGGAGTGTCCTTTCTAGACAGTTAGGCACCTAGGTGCAGTCTTTATACCAACTACCTGGGGCAGAATGTATCTCCAGAACATATTGCTGGCAGAGGGCATTAGCAGCCAAGGTGCTAGCTGCTTGGCAGTCTACCCACCCACTCTCTCATCCTAGAGCTATGCTGGCTCAGGGGTCCTTGGGGCTTTTTATTCTGATGGCTCAATAGATTGAGGAGAAATGTCAATGAACAACCCTCTCCCATCCTCTCCTGCAGAACGAAGACAAGATGGGACTGGCTAGTCCCATAGCCAGCACCTTCTACCGCACCCTCCTGGAAGAGGAGGACATGCAGGATTTGGTGGACGCTGAGGAGTACCTGGTGCCTCACCAGGGCTTCTTCAATGGGGAGACCTCAACCAACTACCGCAGCAGGATCTCTTCCACCAGGGTATGTGCAGGTGTTCTCTCATGTGGGTGAGGCCTTGAATTATCTTTGCCACCACTTTCCAGGCCAAGCCAGATGCTGAATGTGAGCCAAATCACCTTGGGTTGTATGCAAAAAAAAGTATGTGCAGGGTGACATCAGGTCAGGCCTAGGCTAGAAGAAACTCCCAGAGCTGCAGGGTGTCGTGTGGGTGACTCAGTCACTGGCATGCCTCTAGACTGGCATTGGCCCAGGTGACCTGGCATGACAGGTGCTCAGGTGATAGAGCCCCAGGCCTTCACCTAAGATGCACAATGAACCCCTCTCCCTGCGTTTCCCTAGCAGAGTTTGCAGTTAACTTGACTGCTGCTTTGTGCTGGAGGCTGAGCTCTCAGCTAGCTCAGGAGTATCCCCACAAATGTCCTAGCATTGACACCTCCTGCCCCATTGCACCAGCACCTCCTCTGCCTTGGCGTTTGGACTGCGTGCTGCCTGATTACTTACTCCATGGTCTGTTCCTTCCTCTAACCCCTCTTTTCCTTCCCCTACCACAACCTAGAGCACCGCAGAGACCCAGGTGGACGCAGAGGAGACTGAGGAACCATGTCCATACCCCTACCCAGGCCAGGCTCTCCCTGAGCAGTCAGAAGGGCCTGCTCCTGATTCGATGGATGGGGACTATGCCTCAAACAAAGCCCTGCAGAGCCTGCCTGCACGAGAGATGAGCACCCTCCAGCGGTACAGTGAGGATCCCACCGGCATTTCAAGTGATGAAAACAAGGGGTTGGAAGCCGACAGCTACGTTACGCCGACTTCCCACAGTGTGGCTCCAGGTACCGTGGCTGGGTGGAAGGGCTCTCCTTGAAGCAGGGGGAAAAGGAGCCACATTCCAGAGCAGTTTCCAGTGGTGAACAAATGCGCAGAGATGGAGCTGGGAGACATGCTCTTCCTAGCTCTGCCATCAATTTGCTGGGTGACCCTATTGAGTCCCCCATTGCCCAGAAAACAGAGATCATTAGTCCTTTTGTCTCCTGAGGCCTAATTCATTAGTATCAGAAAATCATTTCTCATCTAGGTTATGTGTTTGGCCTGTATCTGAGACCTTCCTTTTCTCTCCTCCTCAGTCCTCTTTTCTATGAGTGCAAAGCTATCTTCACTCTTACAGAGGGAAACTGAGGCCCAGAGAGGCTAAGAGACTTGAGCTTGTGTAAAATGACAGAGAACAGCTCTGAGGAAAGCATCCATGATGTGGGGTGGTTTTGATTTAGAAAGGCTGTGCTCACTGGGTGTAGCCACCCAACACTATCTGAGGTGCTGGCATGTCTTGGTCTGGGCACTCTGATATCAGTCCCCATGTGATGCTTGCAACACTGTATGCCATGCTGCATAGACAGTACAGGCATCTTCTGAGACCTGGCTGCTTTTAGTTAGCCTGCTTTGGTCCCAGTTCCCATGCTGAAGCCTAGGTGATAACAAGCTGTTCTGCTGGTTCTTTTCTTTTTTTGATGATGAAATAAGGTAAAACAAGGTCATAAAAGAAAAATAGAAGAGGGATCACGAGCTTAAGAGAACTGGCAGGGAGACAGTCAGTGACCTGGAAAGGAAGATTTTATTCTCTGATTAAGGAATTACCTAATTTTGCCAGCACAGCTGTCAGATAAGAGCAGTGCTGAGGCAGTTATACCAGTATAGCCTGTTTTACTCAGGGGCTGGTTTTACTATTACCACTATGGAGTACAGTTTAGTCAGCAGGCTTGTGCCCACATAATGATGCGTCTATAGTAATGCCACTGCAATGCACACATATGTACTTTGGGTGGCTCAGATACTATCACAGGGCAGGCTGGTGAACTGAGCTATCCACTCAGCTTCTCAGACAGGTTCTGTAGTACATGTTGAGCTCTGTGCTGCAACACTAGTGCTGCTAGCAGTCCCAAAGCTAGCTTGGGCATGCCTAAAGTAGTCACAGTGACTGCAAAGACATAATCTAGGGGTGTTTTGTTGCTATAGTGAAGCACCCCCCCACTGTAGGCATGAGCTAAGACAGGCTGTACCTGCCTTGGCCCAAGGAGCTGTATGAGGAGTTGGTAGAGTATCCATGACTAACTGGTGTCTACCTCCATTTCTAGAATATGTGAACCAGATGGAGAAATGCCTCTCACCTACCAAACACCCAAGGTCCCAGGTATCCACACTGGAGAAGCCAAAGGGCCATTTGGGAAAGAATGGGCTGATCAAGGAACCAAAGAACCCCTTCCAGGGCAGCTTTGCCAACGCAGTGGAGAACCCAGAGTACCTAGCCCCCCACAGCCTCCCCTTGGCCCCTGCATTCACACAGGCCTTTGACAACCCTTACTACTGGAACCAGGACCCTTCCAAAGCCAACCTTACTGAGCTGAGCTCCGCAATGAACAGCTTTGCCCCAACACCAACGGCTGAGAACCCTGAGTACCTTGGCCTCACCGAGCCCATCACACGGCCCAAGGACACATTGGCTTAATGGCCACAGCTGGTTAATAGTCAGCAGAAAAAGCTCTTGTAGCCAACGTATCATTGTATGAACAGTTCCGGCTGATCTATACACAGGACTCCAGCGATGAATGCACCCATGAAGAACAGCACCATGGCCCCTTAACTAATCACCCAAAAGTACCTCTTAAGTCTCCTTAAAATGAGATGTGGCTGGAGATGAACTGGAAGGACCTGAAAGGGCTGTTGATTCATCTCTAACACAACAAGCACCTGGCGGCAGGCTCAGTGCTACTTGCAACAAGTCTGCTTTCACTTTTTTATGCAACCAGAGTCCTTTTGGCAGATACCTTAACGTTTTGGACAAGGTGGGGCCATATCCCCATCCCCCCTTCTCCATGCAGGAATGCGCCAGACTGCTTCATTTTCATGGGCAACTTAGCTTGGAAATACCCACAGCCAAGACAACAGTGGGGTTTGAAACACAAGGGTCTCAATCAGAGCAATCCTGATTGGACAAAATGCAATGTGGAACCCTATAGGAACAGCAACCCACTTGCCTCTTCTCAAGAGGAAAGGAAAGGGAGGGAAAACGTCCTTTAACTCACCTTGGGCACCAATAAGGTCGATGGTTACTCTTGCGGTCTGAACAGTAGTTCATGTTTTGTTTTGGTTTTACACACCTATGGAAAAAGCTTTAAGGGACTTGGTATAGAAAGAATGGGTGAGGGCAAGCTGAAACAAGGAGCACCTCTTCCCTGCCCCTCAACACCTCAGAACCCCAGCCTACAGAACTAGGGTCAAGCGTGCCCTGTGTACTCTAGCTTGGAGCATTTTCTCTCTCTCATCAAACCATCAAGAACAGCTAAGGAGGTGTTCGCAGTCTAAACCACTACTCCTACAGGTTCCTACCAGGGACAGCACTGCTCAGCTATCAAATTCAGCACCCATTCTGGAGAACAGGGTGGAAGTCAGAGGTAGCCATGCTCTCTTGTTGTGGGGAAAACCTTATCAATGACCCATGCAGCTGGGAAGCCTTCTTCCGTGAAAACTTTATAAAATGGGGGAGGAGTTGGGCATGGGTGTTGGTTTGCTCTGATTCTCGCATTGAGAGTGCAACATTAAACTTGTCGCACTTGCCTTGACTTTCCATTAAGCCAATGGACTAAAAGCCAGGAAGGCCTCTAGCTTTTCCTGCAGTGGCACTGTTTCCACATGAATGTGATGGTTTCCTTCACTACTGTACCTGCAGTATTTATTTTTTTAAATCATCTGTCCCCAATTTCCCCTCCAGATTTTTCATGAGGACTACAGATCACATAAATGCAAAATTAATCCATCTGCTCCCCGAAACTGGTCTGTCTCCTGACCCAACAAAAACCCTTTCCCATTAGAAAGCCATTCTGTCTGCATATGACAACCACTCAGATCTTCCACACGGTTGCCACTAAATTCAGACCTTTGCTAACTTGCATGTCTGGGTAAGATTTTCTCCTACAGAAGGTCAGGTGGAACTTGGGTTAAAACAGAGTTGTCTAACCTGCAGCCCAAGAGGGGTTAATTTACCATCCGCAGGCTCCCACTTCCAAACTCCAGCGGAGTCTGCTGGCTCCCCAATCTTCTGCCTGCTCAGAAATTGGACTGCCTTCTGTTAACATATCCCCTATGTCTGTTTTGAACAAATGTTAGTATTGTACATTTTAGGTGACTGCTGGATTATTTTAAATCAATTGTATCAAAACTATTTGTATATTTGAGAATTGTACATTGTTTTTCTACTCTATTTGTCTACGTGTTTTTTCCCCCTTTTTTCCTATGAGTAGATGTTTCTATTGTTTGCTTTCTGCTTTTAGCATCAGTTGAAGAGAGAAGTATCAAGCATTTGGTGTCCGCAGCAGATAATAATCGTTAGTACTGTGAAAGACCCTTCTTACAGAGAGCAGAGGAACATACTTACCCCTCATGGCTGTAAGTCTAGCTTGAGTCATTGGTAACATGGATGGATAATTGTATATTCTTCTGGGAAAGCCATACTTTAACTGACACTGAAACGGAATAATTAAACCCAGTATACCTACCAGTTGGAGGAGGGAGGGGGCCTCCACTCCTTGTCTTGTTCACAGATGGGCAGTGGCTCCCAGGAGAGGTCAACTTCACTTGCAGTCCCTAAAAAAAAAAAAGACACCCGCCTTTCCTACTACTAGCTGAGAAGGTGAGTGACCCATAGCATTCATCAATCCAGAATGTGTTAATGAAAGGCTTGGTAAGAAGCAACAAGCTTCTCATTCTAACCTGATCTCTTGAGGGTAAACAGTATCTCTACCCGCTCTGGCGTGCCAGGGAAAATGGTCACCAGCATTCAAAAGCAGGACATCCAGACTTGCTGTCCTTTTCCTGAAGATGGAGCATACACCAAAAGGGAGACTAGTGATTTTTTTCTATCCATTAAAGCAGAACCAGTGAGAAACACTTGCCCAACATTGCTGAAGCAGAAATCAACCTCCCCCCGGGGTTTCTCTCTGTAGGGCTATGCACAAGCCAACCTATGGAGGTATTTTCAAGTTTGTTAATGTCATTCCTCTTAAGAGGAAACAGCACGTTGTGACATTAACAACCACTTGGCATTTCACGTCAGCTTACGTCTTCTGCATATCCCAGCAACCAAGAAGGACCTCATTAGCTTTGAGTGCAGCCTTTTAAAAATGAGACACCGAACACTTGAAACTGTTCGCCTACCTGTAATTAATTTACTATAACAAGTCTGGGAGCCCAGCTGGAGCTAAAATACACTCAGAGAAGCTAACCTTTGCCACGTGCATGCAGTATCAAAAAGAAGAAATGAAAATACTTGGCATCTCACAATTAACCCTTCTACCCTCAAAGCCATTTGCTTTTGGCTGTTTTCCTTCCCGAGAGGCTAACTCAATATAAAATCCTAGTTTCTCTGGTTTACCTTGCCAAGCTATATTGACATAAAACCTGCCTATGGCTCAACTCCACTAGGCTTTTACAATGGATTAGCTATGGAGAGGCAACACATTTTTTCCAGTGAACATACTTATTTTAAAATAGAGAGAACCTGAGGCAAGAGGCTATGTGACTTTCCCTAACTGCAGTTTCCCAGATGAAAATGCATTAAGTGCTAATTATTCATCTCTCACACAAAAGCAGGCACCAAAGCAAACCTGACTGCATGCATTTATCTCACTAATGGACCCTTCATATACAAATTTGTTGCAACCTTAAAAGTTCCCAAGGACCAACTTGGCCTAGAGCAATGGTTCTCAGCCTTTTCAGACTTGGTCTCCCTCGATAGATTTGAGACACCCCTTGAAAATACTGGCTCTTTCACTAGATTTTTGACTCCAGAAAAATACCAGAGCAGTTTTTCTGTTGCAAGGAACTCAAAAAGAGCACACTTGATGAGAACATTTTTAACACCAAGCACTCCTATTTAAAAACACTTGCGTTTAGCTTGTGAATCATGTCTGCACGTCTAATGGTGGTTGAGGATCACTGCACTAGAGCAGTGGTGGTAAACCTTTTTGCCCTGGTGGGCCAGATGAGTGGTGCCCAGTCCATCCATGGACTGGTTGCTGTTAGTGGGCCCAATCCAGTGCGTGAAGCAGGCACCGTGTGGCCTGATCTGGCAGCGTGGAAAGTATTGGGATACAGAGCCTAGCTCCAACACAGCTACAGGACAGGGGCATGGCACAGTTCCAGCTCAGCTGCGCAGGGGACAGAGACGTGGCTCAGTCCCAACCCAACCCTGTGGGACTTGAGAATTTGGCAGAATGGGAGGGTGGCAGTATTAATTGTTAGGGGTGCATCGACAGAGATTTTTGGGGCCAGTACTAATGGCTGATTTTTAAGGAGGCAGTGTGGCCAACATACAGCGTGCAGACAACATACAACAAGCCGGGTCGTGGAAGCAGCCCCAGCCTCTGCACACAGGTAAGTATATGGGGTGCGGGGGTTGGAGGTCCAGGAGACTGTCTGGAGGGCTGGGGTATGTGTGTGTGTGTATACGCACCTGCTGGCACAGGGTGGTGGCCAGGCACAGGGCTGTGGTGGGGCAGGGGAGGGGGGAGGAAATTGCTTGGCCCTTCAGCGGGGGAAGGGAACGGAGGCAGGGACAGTCTTCTGCCATGGGGAGCTCAGTGTCTGAGCTGGTGGCATGGGCCCAGTGCCTTGCAGTTGCTGCT